AGTAACATCTTCCTGTTCAATTGATCCCTTAATCATTATATATTATCCTTCTTCATCTGTTTTAAGAGTTTTTGTGTTAAAGTCTATTTTTATCTGGAATTTGCATAGCTGCATCTGCTCATTTTTGCATTTGGTTAGCACAGAATATTTTTTCCATCCTTTCACTTTCAGTCTGCAGATATATTTGTTGGTGAGAGGTGTTTGTTGTAGAAAGCAAATAGATGGATCTTGTTTTTTATTCCATTCAGCCAGTCTGAACCTTTTTTAAAGATTATTTATTTGAAAGGTAGAGTTACAGAGAGACAGAGTGAAAGAGAAAGAGAGAGAGAGAGAGAGAGAGAGAGATTCCATCTACTAGTTCACTCCCTAAATGGCTACAACAGCCAGTGCTGGGCCAGGCCAAACCCAGGAGCCTAGAGCACCTCCCAAGTCTCCCACATGAGTAGCAAGAGCCCAAACACTTGGGTCATCTTCCCCTGCTTTTTTCCCTTTGTAAGATTTATTTATTTATTTGAAAGGCAGAGCTATGATGAAGTGGTTGGGGGACACAGAGAGAGATCTTCCATCTTAGGGTTCACTCTCCAAAGGGTTACAATCTATAGAGCATGGCTGACACAAAGCCAAAAGGCAGGAGCTTTCTCTGGGTCTCCCACGTGGGCACAGCGGTCCAAGTACTTGGGCAATCTTCCTTTGCTTTCCCAGATGCATTAGCAGGGAGCTGTATCAGAAGTGGAGCAGCGAGGATTTGAACCCACACCCATATGGGACGCTGGCACTGCAAGCAGCAACTTAACCTGCTACACCACAGTACTGGCCCCAGTTTGCATCTTTTAATAGCAGAATTCTTGTCATTTACATTCAAGGTTATCATTGATAAGTAATGACATGGCCCTGTTATTTTTCCATAAATATTTTTATTTTTGGCTTTCCTTTCCTTTGTACTTTTTCTTTTTTTTCTTTGTACTCTTTCTAGGAAAATTTTTGCATTCACATTATTTAATAAGAAGGCTTATTTAATAATGAGAAGGCTGAGCGAGTGTTTAAAAGTTATTTCAATTCTCTTTGTTCTGGAAGGCATTTATTTCTCCTTCATATATAAATGAGAGTTTTGTAGGATACAGTATTCTAGGCTGGCAAATTTTTCTTTTAAAATGTAAACTAGCCGGCGCCGCGGCTCACTAGGCTAATCCTCCGCCTTGCGGCGCCGGCACACCGGGTTCTAGTCCCGGTTGGGGCGTCGGATTCTGTCCCGGTTGCCTCTCTTCCAGGCCAGCTCTCTGCTGTGGCCAGAGAGTGCAGTGGAGGATGGCCCAAGTGCTTGGGCCCTGCACCCCATGGGAGACCAGGAAAAGCACCTGGCTCCTGGCTCCTGCCGTCGGATCAGCGTGGTGCGTCGGCCGCGGCGGCCATTGGAGGGTGAACCAACGGCAAAAGGAAGACCTTTCTCTCTGTCTCTCTCTCTCACTGTCCACTCTGCCTGTCTAAAAAAAAATAAAAAAATAAAAAATAAATAAATAAATGTAAACTAGTCCCTCCATTCTCTGTTAGCCTGCGCAGTTTCTGATAGAAATCAACTGTGATTCTAATTGCAGGTACTCTGAAGACACTCTGGCATTCCTCTCCTCACATTTTAGAATATTATTTCATTATGTTTACTGTTGGACCATTGACTACATTGTTTAATGTTGAAGATCATTTCGAGACATGTCTGTTGGGAGTATTATTTACTTCCTGTATTTTGATGTCTCTTTTTTCTTCAGATTAGGGGTCTTCTGTTATTATTTTACTGAATAGGCCTTCTTTTTAAAGATTTATTTATTTTTACTTGAAAGACAGAAATACAAAGTGAGAAGTCTACCATCTGCTGGTTCACTCTTCAAATGGCCACATTGCACAGAGCTGGGTCCACCTGAAGCCAGGACCAGGAGCTTCTTCTGAATCTCTGACATGAGTTCAGGGTCCCAAGAACGTGAGCCAACTTCCACTGACTTCCCAGGCCACTAGCAGAGAACTGGGTCAAAAGAGGAGCAGCTGAACTAGCACCCATATGGGATGCCAGTGCTGCAGGTAGAGGCTTAACATGCTACACCACAGTGCCAGCCCCTAAACAGTCCTTCTAAACCATCCTTCCTTTCCACACCTTCAGGAACTCATAAGATTGGTATGTTGGATCATTTGATAGTGTCCCATGAATCTACAACACTTTAAAATTTCTCTAGTTTATTCTTCTTCTCCTCCTCCTGAGATATTTTCAAAGAATTGTCTTCTAGCTTGGATATTCTTCATTCTGCCTCACCAAGTCTGTGGTTAAGGCTCTCCACTGTACTTTGTTTTGGACATACTGAATGCTTCATTTCTAATATTTCAATTTTATTTCAAAACTTAAATCTCATGGGAAAATTTTTCATCCATAACATGTGTGGATTTCTTTAACACATGAATTTGCTTCTCATGCCTCTGAGTAATCTTATGAACATTTTTGAGTTATTTTCCAAGCATTTGATCAATCTCTTCATCTTCACATTCTAATATTTAAGTGCAGCTATGTTCGTTTATGGGAGTCATATTGTATTCCTTGTTCTTGTTTCTTTTACTTCTGTGTTTATTTTTAGGAATTTTGTGGAAATCTCATTGAGGTTTCCTCTTATGGGTTTTATCTTTGAACTATGCCTCCATGGCTTAGTGGAGTGTCTGCTTTTTCAGTGAATACCCAGAGGTTTGTCCCAGAAACTCTGGTCAGTTACCAAGGGTGAGGCAAGAATCCGGGTGACAGCCCAGTTGGGTGAGGTAGATCTCCTCTACTGTGGCAATGGAGAGGGTTTGATCACGCCTGTTGGCATAAATCACAGCTTCGCCTCCTGTCTCCCAAGGTAATCAATGTTTGGATTTAGATCACAGTTGATTACTAACCCCATCCATGCTTGTGCATGAACCACACAAAGTATCTGTGGGACTTCAGTGTGAGCACAGAACCTCTCAGTGACCCACACAGGCCCTCAGGGAGCTCTGAACCTCTGTCACCAGACAGAGTGATTGCCCAGAGACACAGTTATGCCCATTGCCCTATCGTGAAGTTACAGAATTTCCAAGTCACTGAACTCAAGGCTCCCACAGTTTTGGATGCAGAGGTTCTGCTCAGTCGTGTGAGCCTGCTCTTTCCCCAGAGAGGGCAGTCATTCTCAAAGCCAGCTGCATGTGGGTGCCCCACCTTGGCAGTTTGAACCCTGGAGCCTGAGATTTGTGGAGAGGATGGTGTCACCTCACATTCCTGTGTGGGTGCCTAGCCCCCTGGCAACCCTCACAAACAGACTCAGTGGGGAACACAACCTTTCCCCGCTGGTAAAATCCCCTGGCTACACACATGTACAAGGGTTGCCTGCAGCCTTTACTGGTGTCAAAATGGCTCCTATCTGCCAGATCTCAGACACCTTGGAGGGGGTTAGGGAGAAAGAAATGCACTCTTCTTTCACTGTGAGTACCCTGCCCCTTTTGGGGACTCCAGTTCGGACTCAATGCCTGTGTGGTCTGGAGTGTTCTTCCTCAGGTAGTATCTCCAGAGTTGGGGCTCACCTGTCTCAGATGCTGGCACATCCCCAGCCCCCAGCTCAGGAGTCACTCGTGTAGTATTCCTGCTCACTTGAGTTACATTTTTTTTGACAGGCAGAGTTAGACAGAGAGAGAGAGACAGAGACAGAGAGAAAGGTCTTCCTTACGTTGGTTCACCCCCGAAATGGCTGCTATGGCCTGCGTGCTGCGCCAATCCGAAGCCAGGAGCCAGGTGCTTCTCCTGGTCTCCCATGTGGGTGCAGAGTCCAAGCACTTGGGCCATCCTCCACTGCACTCCCTGGCCACAGCAGAGAGCTGGACTGGAAGAGGAGCAACTGGGACAGAATCCGGCCCCCCGACCAGGACTAGAACCCAGGGTGCCAGCACCGCAGGTGGAAGATTAGCCTAGTGAGCCATGGCGCCGGCCCTTGAGTTACATTTTTAATTAAATAAAAATAAAATGAGTGTACCATCACTGGATTATAATCGTGACAGTTGCCTGGATTTATTTCTTCAATATGTTACTGTCAGAAAGATTCATTGATGGGCTCTGTAGTTGAGACCAGTGAAAATGATATTAGTGATGACATTTAAGAACATTTCCCATGCTTACACAGAGAAAGTGTGTGGACCCTGTTTCATGGTACTGACATTGTTCACTAACCATACAAATAGAACAATTTACCAAGACAAAATTCAAGCTTACCCATAACATTGATAGTCTAAGGTCTGAATAATTATAAATCTCAATTGTGACAAATTTATCTCCTTGTATGGATTGCATTAGTTCCAAAAAGTTGCAAAGAAGAATTTGTAGGACTTCTTGGTGATACATATATACATATGTGTATATATATATATATATATATGAATTTGATGATATATGAGCTTAAAGTAAAAAAAAAAAGCTGAATTTCTATTATGACAAAAAGATTGAGATTGGTATGACAATTTTTCCTAAGGAGCAAACAGCTCAAGGCAGAGAGCTGCACCCTCCTTTCTCTATTCAAGAGTACTCATGAGTGGGATATTACTTGATTCAGAACCATTCCTGATAAAAGTTAAAACTCTGTGACCAGAAATAAATAGGGAAAATGTATGTGCTTCCTTTTGTGTCAAGATAATAACAGGAGAAAGAGGATGAATCATCATCACTTGTCAGTCTGTATGATTTTCCTGAATTGGCCATAAAGAAGGAGGGTCACGTGATAGGAGATGTTTTCAGTGTCACTGGTACCCCCACTCTGCATTTATGCTGATGCTTTTCATTAGAGAAATGCGAGCCCATGCTTCTGCACACTGAAGGTAGTGGAGAGTTGTATCCAAGCTCTGTGCAGGCCACAGATTGGGTGGTTTGAAGTATTTGGGGGTCAAATGCTTTATTGTTTTGTGTTTAGGAGACTAACCCATGCATGTTCCATGAGAATAATCCACATTTTTATCTATACTACAAGGATTTACTTCAAAACATACCTGGAAGTGTGTTTACTGCTAACCTGTATGAAAAATTCCTTGGCGTTCTGGATGAAAAGAATGACAAGACCAAGATAGCTATGATTCAGAGGTGAAGATGTGGTATTTATTTTCTTTAGTACGCTGGAATAATGCAACCAACATTCTCTTAGAAAGATAGAAAATTGAATTTTATGTTATTTTATTCACTTTTAAAAATATATGCATATATAAATATATTTTTAAGATTTATTTATTTACTTGAGAGGCGGATTTACAGACAGAGAGAGGGAGAGATAGAGAGTAAGGTCTTCCATCTACTGGTTCACTCTCCAAATGGCCACAATGGCCAGAGCAGGGCTGACCTGAAGCCAGGATCCAGGAGCTTCTTCCAGGTCTCCCACGAGGGTGCAGGGGCCCAAGCACTCGTGCCATCTCCTACTGCTTTCTACTGCTTTTCTAACAGAGAGCTGGATTGGAAGAGGAGCAGCCAGGACATAAACCAGTGCCCACATGGGACGCTGGCACTACAAGCGAAGGCTTAACCTATCACACCACAGCGCTGGCTACTGGTCTGTTCGCTTTAATAATCACTTAGACTAACGCTTTCATTTTGTCACATTTGGAGGCCTGTTTATAAACAAAGGCAAATCTTGCTACTGTCATTCTATTCTTATTTTTCTCCTAAAATTATTCCTGATCTTTGTACTCGTCCTGAATATAGGGAATAGCTATCAGAGTAAATTCATGGATCAAGCCAGATGTTAGGGGACCAATATACTGGAGATCTTTGTGCAACGTTAGCATAAGACTTAGAAAACAAGTGTAGGATAGATGGACAGGAATTGAATTCAAGGAAACATCTTCCTGTGCCTTCATAATTGGTTTGAGTTATTAGATACAGGATAACCTTTGATCTGTGACTGTCTTAAAACTCAGAGTACATTGTATTCAACTTCTGTTTTCATTCAGTAGGCTTTATAATTGGCCACATTCTAAAGTGGATGAATGCTTCAAGTATGCTTCTGTTAACTTAGATATGAATAATATTTGCTGTATTGAACACAGGATGTAGTGGATTCAAAGAAAAGTCAAACAAAATATTTTAAGATAATTTGGTACATTTTCTCCACTATTTTTGTTGTATTTTACCAATGGTATACCAGACATTTTTTCCTATTTGAGAGGAAAATATCCTGAGTTAAAATTCTTGCTTTAATGATGCCTTTTTCTGTTTTCAGGCTTTTAGCACAGCTGCCCAAACCAAACGTTCATCTCCTGCAATCTCTCTTTCGCTGTTTACACAAGATTTCACAGAAATCACCCTCAAAGGAGATGACAAGTTCTAACTTGGCATGGTGCATTACCCCAAGTCTTCTATGGCCACCAGTTGCCAGCATTCTAGATATAGGAACGGAATGGGAGAAAAAGGTAATGAGGTGTCTCCCTTTTATTCCCTATGCAATAGTGTTCCCCTATGATCCTGAAATATAGTATGTTAATTCTATTGGAGCATTTTTTAAATGCACATGTTAGGTACTCCTCTGTAGAGGCAATTATTTATCCTTTGTTGCAGTTGTGGGTGGATGAGACATTAGGCAGGGCATTGGGAGCAGTGAGCCATTTTATTCCCATCAAAGAATTAACACATCACATTAAAACAGAGGAGAAAGTTATACGATGTGATAGAAATGAATTTAGATCTTGGAGTTGGACAAAACAATGTTCAAGTTCCTGTCTCATCTGACATTTAATAATCTTTTCTGGCCAAAGTTTTCTCATGTGAGAAATTTCAGTTGTTACAATACCAGAGAAGCACTGGAGAGTGCCTGGTTGCCCTGGGTGACATGGTTATGTGTCATCGCCTTCCTCTTCTGATTGTGAGCCAGAGATGCCATGTTCCTGTTTCATCTCTGCAAGTGGATATGTGAAAGCTCATCAAAGTTCCCAGAGTTCTCAGAACAAGCTAAAGGGGCAGCAACCTGCCAGACAGAACGTCAGTCCTTCTCTGAACTCATCCGGAAGGCAAGGATGAGGTGATGCATGCCCGTGCACAGAGAAACACTTCTCTCTCCAACTGGCCACGTTCTGGCAGAAAAACACACTGAGATGCTCTCTGTTCTCTAGTTGAGAACAATTAACTCAGGAAATAAGTTTCCAAAATGTGTGTGTGTCCATTTGGTGTCATTTACAAATTTTAGAATAAGAACACACATTTTCACCCCAAATATCCTGAAAATGATCATATTTGTAAACATGCAGTCATTGAAATAAAAATACTAACAAATTAAAGCCACAAAATGATAATATTAAAGCATTGACTGGAAGTATTTAAAGAATTGTCCACAACTCAGAGAAACAGACATCATTCCGTATTGAAAATAGGTTTATATACTTTATGGCAACTCTGAGTTTTTCAGTTGAGTTTCACATTTTTGTTTGATCCAATATTCATATATAAAACATGATTTATAATGATGCCAAATGTAAAAGTACAACACCTTTTTGGTCCTTTGTGTTATAGGTTGCTCTTGTACAATTCTTGCTTGACCACTGCTTCAAGATATTTGGAAGCAGCCTTACTTCCACCATCAGAAAGCAAACAAAATATAGGAAACACTACCTAGAAGTTTCAGGTAACATCATTCGTTTAACTACCTTTGCAGACAAGTAGATGAAAATACTTTTGGGATCATTAGAAGTCTAAACATTGTCTTCTTTGAGGTCCTGAGCATGCCCTGAGGGCAATGATACAGGGCCCAGGAGTCCACCTATTTCTTCATTGCAGGCTATCCCACAGACTCCAAACTTATACATACAGGGTAGTGGAAATGTATAATGAGGTACCTGATTTCCAGATCATTAAGAGACTTCATATTCTATGATACAGTACCTGTATCATAAGGGAAACCCTACCATTTGAGTGTATCTCAAAAAGTACCTATATGAATAGAATTTATGTATGCATGAGTTTATTTTCTTAATTATTTGGATAACAGAGTGGGGGCTGGTATTGTGGTATAGTAGGATAATTGTTGCTATGGAACCAGCATCCTACTGCATGCTCAAGTCTCAGCTACTCAGCTTCCAACCCATCATACTCCTTTCTTAAAAGATTTATCCATTTATTTATTTGAAAGTCAGAGTTACACAGAGAGAGGGGGAGAGGCGCAGAGAGAGAGAGGTCTTCCATCTGCTGGTTCACTCCCCAAATGGCCACAATGGCCGGAGCTGCACCGATCCAAAGCCAGGAGCCAGGAGTCTCCTCCAGGTCTCCCATGTGGGTGCAGGGGCCCGAGGCCCTGGGCCATCTTCCACAGCTTTCCCAGGCCACAACAGAGAGCTGGACTGGAAGTGGAGCAGCCAGGACTCAAACTGGTGCCCACATGGGATGAGGGCACTGGAGGCGGTGGCTCCACCCACTATGCTACAGCGCCAGCCCCCATCATACTGTTAATGTGGCTGCTACATCACCAGAAAATGGGACAAGTGCTTCAGTACCTGCCACCTATGTGGGAGATCAAAGGTGGGTTTCCTGGGTCCTGGCTTTGCTTGGCCCAGTCCTCATTGCTACAGCCATTGACGGAAGGATTCAGTTGGTAGATCTCTCTCTCTTTTTCTCTCTCTCTCTCCTCTCTGTGTCACTCTGCCTTTCACATAAATAAGTGAATAATCATGAAAAATACAGAGGAACAGACACCTGGATGGAGATAGGGTCTGCCAGTTCACACCCAAAATGACTGTACTTTGTGGGATGGGCTAGACCAAAGTGGGGAAGGGACTTAATCCTGGTATCCTGCCTATGTGGCAGCAATGCAGATCCTTAAGAATTAACTTTGGTTTCATTATTTTGGTGGAAAAGTGATAGAGGATGAGTTGAAGGAGACTTAGTATGAATGCATGTGATTATGAAATTTAGCTTGATTTGGGGCCGGCACCATGGCTCACTTGGTTAATCCACCTCCTGCGGCGCTGGCATCCCATATGGGTGCCAGTTCTAGTCCCAGCTGTTCCTCTTCCAGTACAGCTCTCTGCTGTGGCCAAGGAGGGCAGTGGAGGATGGCCCAAGTGCTTGGGCCCTGCACCCACATGGGAGACCAGGAAAAAGCACCTGGCTCCTGGCTTCAGACTGGCGCAGCGCTGGCAATAGACGCCATTTGGGGAGTGAACCAAAGGAAGGAAGGCCTTCCTCTCTGTCTCTCTCACTGTCTAACTCTATCTGTCAATAAATAAAAAAAAGAAAAGAAAGAAATTTAGCTTGATTTGAATACAAAATGACTTTGTATTCATTTGAAAAGAGGTATGAATCATGAACCCACTGATTACCATTAACATAAAGATACTTGCGCCTCAGCATACTAAACACCTATTTTATTTATTTATTTGAGAGGTAGAGTTACAGACAGTGAGAGGGGTCTTCCATCCACTGGGTCACTCCCCAAATGTCTGTAATGGCCAGAGCTGCACTCATCCGAAGCCAGGAGCCAGCAGCTTCTTCTGGATCTTCCATGTGGGTGCAGGGCCCCAGTGCTTGAGCCATCTTCAACTGCTTTCCAAGGCCATAGCAGGGAGCTGGGCTGGAAGAGGAGCAGCCAGGAGTAGAACCAGGGCCCAGGGATGCTGGCGCTGCAGGCAGAGGATTAACCTACTGTGCCACCAAGCTGGCCACTAAGCACTTCTTAATGCAGTACAACAGATTGTAGCTGGAACTGTCTAGAAAGTATTCCCACAGTACGAACTGAACCTGAGTCTTTCAAGTCTGGGTTTCACTACCAATTCATGAGAGGTGGGGAGACAAGAATAGATCCACAACACATGAGTGCTTTGAACCAATTTCAGTATGTAGACCTTTCATCACAACCATTGCTCATTGCTTTTTCTAGCAATTTCTGGAAACATGCAGTCATCTGGAAATGATGGAAATGAGATTCCATTAATTGAACTCTCCCTCCAAACTTGTGCCTTATTCCTCAGATCCTCAGCTGAAGCCAGCTCAAAAACAACATTCCATTAAAAAGTGGCTAACTCCGCGTGTTTTGGGCAGAAATCAAAACAGGGTGGCACCAGAACCCGCTCGGCCCACAGCCCACCAAGCACAGCTATTTGGATCACTCTTACAAGATGTGTGTGAAAACGGCAAACTTCCAAAGTCAATTTTGGTAAGTCTCAGTTTGGTCTTCTACAGTCAAACATTGTTGAAGAATAGATTCGTCATCCATGCCTGTCTCCAAATTGACAAATCACTGAGCAACGACCTACTTTGGCTGACATTTTTTCAATGCAAAATAATCTGATTTACATATTGCCCTGTGGTGACATGTAGTAAACAAATAAAAACAGATAGAAACATTTCTCTTGTCAATGTCACTGGCTTCAGCAAAATCTCCCATACACCTGTACAAATTGGTCTGGGTGTCTCTCAATAGCAGTGAGCCCACCTCCCCTCACATTATCCTCTTGGCATCTTCAGTATTTAAATCCTTTTCTAACTGAAAATATCTTATTATTTCCTCTCAACCAGACTATTCAGTCTTACAACTGAACACCTCTATCTTTGATTTCATGTTTCTCTCAACTGTTTGAACATAAAAAAAACTCATCTACTGGCATGACTTTGTTCTTCCATTCTAGCAGAACTTGCCAGTTTAAAGGTACAAATTTGGACATTTATCACCGAAAAATACAAGATTATAATGCCAGCAATAGCATCTATAGCATTTCCAGTGTCTCTCTCTGTTCACTACATGATGTAGGGAATTTCAGTCTCCATTTAAAAAATTCATCATGTTAAGTACATCATAAATATGCTAGTCCTTCCCTCTTTCAGCATTAATGCAAAGCAAATATATGAATACGATCATCTCTACCCTCATGGAAGGGATAAAGGAAAGCCTTAATAATGTATTGTGCCCCATATCACTGAGCAAATAAATGTCATATTGATTCAAAATGCCTTAAGATACCCTACTCTGACACTCTCTTTTTTCACTGAACACAATATGAAATGAAAGATCAGTGAGAAGGTAATCTAATGAGAAAAGGCTTTGAGAGGAAACAGGTTTCAACTTTGTTACAAAGAATTGGAATTAGTGATGTATAGGAATGGGGTATGTAATCTATCCCGGGGGATAAAACTTAGAAATTGGTCTAGTAAAAAGATGTCTGCACTTAGAGATTATAAGGATATTCAGAATGAATGAGCACAAAATGATAACTTATGATAGGATGACTCCACGGAGGATTTGAAGCAAAGAACTTGGATTTAAATGTATAAATCCCCTGGGAAAGAACCGATTGTGAACTCAAGCATCAAGGATGTTTTATTTTATGATTATGGACTATAAATATGTATGATTGATGGTACAAAAAGTAATCAGACACCAAATGGAATTTTTTAAAGTTGATTCCATTCCATACCTTACAGATCTGTAACCTTGTGTACTCTTGTCAAACAAGGTTATGCTTGAGCTGTGCTCCTGCTATGAGATGTGATGCATTTATTTCATTTATCTTACACACAGGATATGCTTTACTTCATTGATTTGAAGGGTTCCATCACAGAGGGCATATTCAAAAAATGTGTCAATGGCCAAGCATATAGAACCCTCAGAGAAAAACTGAATTCTGGGGAAGAGGTAGATTGGATGACTGAATCACCTTATGTCGTGGCAACTGTTTTAAAGGTAAGAAAGTGTCTGTGAACAGAACTGAAGCCATTATGATGGATCTTCTCTACCATGATCGCTCAATAACAATATTAGACCAAAATATTTAGATCCTGTAAAACATGTTACAAACTACACAAGAAGGAGCCACTCATTTGGTTATTCAAAACCCCAGGGGATGCATATGTTTTCCTTGATGATCAGAGAAACTATGCTGATGTTCTTCATCCTCAGTACCCTATATCAAAAAAATCAGAGTCGGCGCCGTGGCTCAATAGGCTAATCCTCCACCTTGCGGCGCCGGCACACCGGGTTCTAGTCCCGGTTGGGGCGCCAGATTCTGTCCCGGTTGCACCTCTTCCAGGCCAGCTCTCTGCTGTGGCCAGGAAGGCAGTGGAGGATGGCCCAGGTGCTTGGGCCCTGCACCCCATGGGAGACCAGGAGAAGCACCTGGCTCCTGGCTCCTGCCATAGGATCAGCGAGGTGCGCCGGCTGCAGCGGCGGCCATTGGAGGGTGAACCAACGGCAAAGGAAGACCTTTCTCTCTGTCTCTCTCTCTCACTGTCCACTCTGCCTGTCAAAAAAAAATCAAAGCGTTATTAATACTGTTCATAAAAGAAGAGCAAAACATGCCCTTTCATATTCAGAATGCTGACCAAGATGCATCCTGCATTTGATGACAGTCACAATTTCCAACAAAGGCACAATTTCCAAAAAGAAAACTTCTATCAACATGTTGGATCAGTGAGCTATTGTAAGCACACAGTTATCTTCCAGCGATTCACTACATGGTTACATGAGCCATCAAAACCTCCATTGATTTCATCATCCTGCTTTCGCCTATCTCCTATGCCTTCACTTCCAAGTTGGCATGGGAAAAGATGGTTTCATTCACCCACTTTTACCTCCTCTGGTATACTGCTTAGTAGTTACCATGTTTACCACACTACCCGTTGCATAGAGGAACTTGTACCCACCACAAGTTTGTAATGATAATTCTGACTACAAATGTATGTGTGGTAGCCTCAATTGTTTGGACTTCTGAACATTCAATTGATGTCTATGTAAGGTAAATCCACTTTGAAATGACAAAGCTAAATCACAGATATGCAGGTCCAATTCTATGCAAGGTAATATAAAAAATAAAAACGAACTGAATGAATCCATTTTGAAACTTGTTGACAGCAGTGCACAAATAGTCAGACAATGATCAGAATACAAACCAGTTTTGAAAGTTACGTTGGGATGAGAAACTTGGGCTTTCCTTTTGCCCATTCCTATTTGACCGTAAGATAAGTTGCCATAGATTGATAATGACTTGTTTGATTACTATTGTGCTCTGACCAAAATAATAGACACAAGTTAAATATTACCCTTTGTATGGTAATGTATGGTGAAATGGATTTCATTTTCCAGCCAGACTCAGAAGTATCTCTCTGATTTTGCATCTGGTCCTTGGTAGTACCATGTTATGTAAGTAGCAGATAGGTATGGACTTGAACTTGTTTACATGGTCAGGACCACATTGATTTTGCCACCCAAGTGCCTAGATGCTGAGACCCTGCAGAAAATACTTTCAGTACATTCTGCTTGGGCTGTGATTTGGTTTAACTTACCAACTTAACATGTGGGATCTGGGTCATGGGATCCAGAACACCAGAGAGAAAACACTGGTTGTAAGTGCATGTTAGTGTGGTGCACACCCATCAAATGTGCCTCTGCATCTACCAAACCCTCACAGACAGGAAGAGCTTAAGGATTACTTTACTCCAAACATGGGGCCCACTCCATGGGAATGCAGTAGACACATAGAACTGCAATAGACTGTTCCACACTGGTGACATTATAAATGTACTAGAGGACTGGTACTGTGGCTCTTTTCTTCATTCCTCTATCCTCAGTCCTCCAAACTGTATCTGTGACAAAGACTACCACAGTGAACATTGGAGTGAGTACACCATCACTGGGCTACATTCACGACAGTTGCCTGGAGGCATTTCTTCAGTCAGTTACTATCAGGATGTTTCATGAGTTCTATAGTGATTCCAATTCAAATAAAATGAGTAAGGCAATGTGATAACTTCCTCTCATGCTTACACACACTCCCTGAAGTCCCATGTGTTCAAGTTCATGGTATTATCAAAATCAGTCACATATGGACCAATTTTTCATGACACCTCATAGGAAACAACGCTGATACACCAAAGCATGGAATTATGATATATCTCAATTATGATTACATTTCTTTCTTGTGGGTATTGTACATGTATCAACCAAAGAGTTGTAATGAAGAACCTGCAAATAAACATAGAATTTTGGTAACTTGTGCAAGAACCTGGTTAATAGCAGAGAATGGGTTGTCTATAAAGAAGGGTGAGGATATTATGAGAACTTTGTTCTAAGGAGAAAACACAACTCAAATCAGAAAGTGCCATTCTCACTTTCCATGTGTAAGTGAATGCATGTATCATTGTGGGTATTTGTTTCATTTGGTCCAGAATCTCTGCAGCTAAAAATTAAAATCACAGGGCCTGAAAAACAGGCAAAATATGTGATTATTACTTGTCAAGAACTAGCATAAGGGTGATTCATCACCAGAAAAGTTGGCTAAAATGCACACCAACAGGGAGTGTGGGGTAATGGGAGAATTTGTCTTCATTCTCAACACTCCCCAGATACTGATTTTCATGTTTGTGTTATTGGGCTAAGTCCAAGCCCCTGCTTCTGCATGTACAAGTCATGGAAGAATTGTAACCAAACTCTGTAGACACAACTGCATGCTTTAAGTAAATGCTTTCTCAGTAGGTTAGCCAAAGAATGTTTTCCATGAGAATAATAATATTTTTCAATCTGTGTAAGGATTTTCTCCAAAGTATACCTGGAAGCTTGTTTACGACCGAGCTGTATGAAAAGTTTATTGGTGCTATGGATGAAGGGAATAAGAAGGCCAGAATTTCCATAATTCTCAGGTGATGACGTAATACCTATTCCCCTGGACATGTCTGAAAAACACAACCAGTGCAAACTTGGAAAAATATCAGCTTCTGTTTTATCAATTTATCGAGTCAACTCATGACTTAGGAAAAGGACTTCATTGGGTGATACGCGTGGAGGCTAGATTAGAAAGGAAAGGAAGCCTTGATATTGTCAGTGAGTCCATGTTTCTCTCTTATTATGAACCTGGAGGACTTGACCTTTGTACACATCTTGGACTATAATATATTTATACAAAAAGAAATCCTTTGGTTCAATGCACATGTAAGAGAATTGACCAGTGTTCTTTGTGTAACATTGTCAACATAGACCCACCAGTCTACTGGAGCTCAGGAATTGAATTCACTGAAAAATTTTCAGACATATTCATACCTCGAGTGAGTTTCTAAGATAACTGATGGCCTTTGAGTGCTTGCCACAAAGCAATGTTGCTTTGCTACTACCTTATATACCTAAGGAAACATTCTATGCAATTTTTGTTATTAACAGATTTTCAGTTTGGCACATTCTGGAATGCCAGATATTTTAAATATATTTATGTTATATTAGCTATTTATAATATTTACTCAATTTAAGACATGATATAATGTATTCACAGAAACATTGAAGACAATATTTTGATGACACTGATATATTCTTCTCTATTTTCATTTGTTTTGTCAATATGACCAAAACAATGTGCTCCATTTTGTATGTGAGTGCAAGGTTCTGAGTTAAATTCTTGCTTTATGAGTATCTTTTTCTGTGTTTAGGCTTTTAGATCAGCTGCCCAAAATGAATTTTCATCTCTTAGAATGCTTATTCACGTGTTTATACAAGATTGCACATTCACCACTCAATAATATGACATCGTCTGATTTGTCACTGTACATGACCCCAAGCCTTCTTTGGATACCCATTTCCAGAAACTCAGAAAGAGGAATGGAATGGCAGAGAAAGGTAATGTCTCTACTGTGAATCTGAAATCCTATGTATTAATTCTGAGGGACCATTTTTAATTGCATTCTTTAAGTACTGCTCTGAAGGGAAAGAGTCATTCATCCATTTGGCAACTGTGGGCAGGTGGTATATTCACCAGGACACTGAGTGCACTGAGTCACTCCACCTTTCTCATGAAGGATTCAGTCACTAGAGACATACGACCACAGAGAGCAATGTCATACCATGTGCTAGAAATGACTCAGACATTGAGGTTGGACAAAACAAGGTCAAGGCTGGGTTTCACCACTGAAGATTGCGCAACAGTATACAAAATTTCCATTTTAGACATTCTTATCTAAGTAATGTCAATTGTATTGACAGCAGGAACCAGGTGACACAACCAAGGTGGCCTGAACAAAAGTGGTCACCTGCATTTAGCTTATTCTGCTGATTGTGATTCATTAAGAGAGATGGCAGGTTCTGATTCCATCTCTGCTGGTGGATTATAAAAACTAAGAACATCCCATGGAATCACAACAAGCAAGGTTGAGGGGAGGCAGTACAATGCACAAGGAGAAACCACAGTTAGGCAGGCAGAAATTTTCCTTCAACATTCTCCTTTCTTGTTGAAAAGATTCACTGATGCTCTGTTTGCCAAACGGAGGATACTTTACTTAAGAAGGGAATTTCCCACGGATGTTTTTGTTGGGTATGTTACAAATTTGGGAATGGTGATATATATCTTCACTTCAAATATCATTAGGAAGACTTATTGGAAATGATACTATCTGTAAACAGGTAGTCAATGAAATAAAACTGCAAATAATTTGAACCACAAATGATAATGGTAATGTACTGATAAGAAGTATTTATTTTTATTTATATTTTTGTAAATGTAAAGAGATTTAATGTAGTTTATAGAGACAATTATAAAAATATAATGAATCCTTCCTTCCTTACATCTTCCCTTTCTTTCTTTTTTTAGTTTTTGTGATATTTCTATTACTTTATACCAAAAGGCTTATTGCTCCACTAAATTAACAGTTCAAAAAATAAAAACAAAAAGACCACTCTTTTGCATGAAAAAAGAGAAGGGCTATAAACAATTATCAGATTGAAAGATCCCAATTTTACAATACAAGTAAAATTTTATATTCTATATATTAACTATCACAAATCAGAGAAAACATTTTGTTTCTTTTTTGAGTCTGACTTACTGCACTAAGCATATTGATATCTCATTGCACCCATTTTGTTTCAATGGTCAGGACTTTATTCTTTTTAAAAGATTTGTGCCCAAGTACTCTGGATTTTTCATATAATTTCATACAGAAAATGGGTTCATATATTTTATGTCAACTCATTTGTTTTAGAATTCTAAATGACATATTTTTGTGGGTTATAAGATTCTTATGTGTTTTATGATTTATAGCAATGTCAAATGTAAAAGTGCATTCTCTTGTTGCCCTTCATCTAACAGGTTACTCTTATACAATTTCTAATTGATAACTGCAAAAATATTTTCGGACATAGACTGACCTCCTGCATGGGAGGACACACAAAATATGAGGACACCTTCCAGGAACTTTCAGGTATAATGAATCATTTAACTTCCCTTGATTACAAATGGAGACAACCGCTGGGTCATGAGAGATTCTTATACAGTGTCTCCCTTGGAGTTTACGGCATGTCCAAAGGGCAGTGAGGCGGGACCCAGGAACCCTTCTGCTCCTTGTTCAAAGTATGACTCATAGGTCAAGGATAGTTTTCACATTGTTGTGAGATAAAGAAAAATGTAAAGTGATGCACTGGATTTCAGAAAATAGTGTCAATTCTAGCTGCCTCAAGATACATCACATTGTATGACATAGGGGCTAGGATCCTACAACAGGTAGGTGGAACCCTGTATGAGATTATCTCAGCAAGTATGAAGATCAATGGAATTTAAAATGTTAGTTTCTTAAAATTTATTAAGTTAAGACAGAAACCCTCTGGGAGAGAGAGATCCCTTTCACTGGTTTGTTCCTCTATGGAATATATCATGTAGGGTTGCACTGGTCCAAAGTCAGAAGCAAGGAGCTTACTGAAGCTTTCCCCCATGGGTAGAAGGAATCCAGGTAATCCAGTCAACACTACAGTTTTATCTTATTTTCATGGAAAATATTTTGAAATTCAGGCCTTGTTTTTTCATATTTACTTTCCATATACAGGGAAAATCATTTTTTGAACCAATACACTTTTGTCAGCAAAATATAATAATTCCATTTTTCACAAGGAGTTTGAAGTTCTCTGTACATATAATCAGTGTGCTCCAGATTAAACTCAACTAAGGGGCTCACAGCACTGCCTTTTAGTTTCCTTCCCCCTTCTTACTCAGTGAGCCCTGAGGCCCATGGATATTCTCAATATCCATGGGAAAGTTTCTGAGAGAATCACAGTCCTTGAGCAGAACAGCCTCTGTTCTGATGGTCTGCTTTCCAAAATGTAAAACATTGTGCCATATTTTTCTTGCTACATTAACGTCACCTTGTTCTCTGTCAGCCTGTTTTTGACCTCTAAAATAATGATAAAAACAATACCTAAATTTTAGGATTGCTTTAAGGGATGAATGAGATAGTGGCTGAAAATAATTTAATTGGGATAAAAGGAGAATTCATAGGGCTACTAGAGTTTTTTTTTTTTTTTTAAACTTAAACTAGTACTAGTCAAATCTAGCCAGTGATAGCATACAGGTTCTCCATTTAATAGGGTAGAGTTCAGGTGAAATTTTTGAGGATATCTATTTTGGTTCCTTCACATTTGTGCCCTTTCCTGACTTTATGACATTCACCTCATTGCTTAGGAGAAATATGTAGGAAAATCCAATTCATTAGCAAGTGGGAGGACTGTAGAATTTGAGACTATAGGTAGTAAGGCAACATTTTGTTTTTCATTCAACAGAGAAAATGGAGCTATCTGTTGACTCTGAGCTCATGGAAGTCCCATACATCGACTAGAAGACCCAAATACGGAAGGATGGAAAGGCCACATCTAGTATGGGCCCATCTAACTCTGTATTCTACTTTCTGAACATCTACATACTTACATATGATTTTTTTAACCATACACTTCTTTTCACATTATTCTAAGACCATTTTAAAAATATTTATTGGAATTTTCTAAATTTAGTTGACATCTTAAACTTGTTTCTAGATAAAATGGATTTCTTGGTAAAAGACTGGTCATGAGACACCTGAAAATCACACCAACTTTTTGCTTCATGTTTAACATTACTTGATCTTAATGGAACATTCAGTGAGCAGCTTCTAACATATGAGCTCATCTTGTTAGATCTTAGTTCTACCATCACCCATACACAAGGGAGACTTGAAATGGTTCCTGCGAAAAGGGTATAGAAAGATTAAATGAAAAACAACAAAAATAGAATTTAACAGGAGTTTTTTGATCAAAAATTTTTAAAGTCATGCAAATATTTCTGATAAGATGTATTTTCACAAACATTTTCACAATGCATGAAAATATTTTTGAAAATACATCTTATCAGAAATATTTGCATGACTTTAAACATTTTTGACCAAAAAACTCTTCTGTTAAATTCTATTTTTATGCTTTTCATTATCTTCTTACACCACTCTCTGTGTACTGTTTACTTTTCCCTAGACAAATTTGAGAACATCTTCCAACCAAATTTTTTTAATATTTCCAGTACTAACTTATTTTTCATCAACTGAAATTCCATTTAACAGATCAGCTTGTACATTCCTTTATGTTATATACATATAATTTTAAATATACAGATGACATCCCAAAAACCAAAGGAATCTTTCTGAACGAATAGGCTTCCTAGACAAATTCATGACCTGAATCATTTAAAAATATTCAAGACTCACAGTATATCTTGTAACTGTAAATGGAACCACAAAATGACAGATACATAAAAGTGCCTTGTTTCAAAAAACTCTGTTGTGCCACATATATTCAAATGTTCATTAATAATGTTCATTTATACCTATTTGTTAATTAATATCTATTTGACTCTTTATTGATACCTATTAATACCTATTTGACTGTTCATTAATACCTATTTGACTCTTCATTAATACCTGTTTGACTTATTGTTAATACCTATTTGACTATTTATTCATGAATATTTGACTCTTCATTAATACCTATTTGACTTATTGTTAATACCTATTTGACTATTCATTCATGAATATTTGACTCTTCATTAATACCTATTTGACTTATTGTTAATACCTATTTGACTATTCATTCATGAATATTTGACTCTTCATTAATACCTATTTGACTCTTCGTTAATACCTATCTGATTCTTCATTAATACCTATTCGACTATTCAGTAATACTTGTTTGACTTACCGTTAATACCTATTTGACTATTCATTAATGAATATCTGACTGTTCATTAATATCTACTTTATAAAATTCCAATTTTATCTTTATTAGATAAAGGATTTAAAGATCAAATATGGAGACAACTAAAAATATGAATTACTGTTATTCTGAAAGTGTTAATTTTTCATGTGACTAAAGTATGAAATTAGAACTATCCTCCAAAAATCTCAAATATTTTATAGAGCAAGAAACACAGGACCAAACATTGTTACATGTGCTTTTTATCAGTTCTATAACTACTTTTAATATTTTGTATATTCTTATGACTTGTAATATACTAAAACATATATACATAGTAATTCACTATTGCATCAAGGAATATATAAATAAAATGTCTGATTACAAACTGTATTTTCTCAAACAAGCTAATTCAGCTTAATGACTATACAATAACATTTGATAAAGTCTAGTAATTTGATGAAGAAAATTCAGTATTACACAAGTTCAGCTTTCAAACTATCATCTGACAATCTACATTTATTCTATTGTTTGTCTTTTCTTGATGAAATAAAATTCACTATACAATTTACTGACTTTGTTAATCATTTTATTTGCTCGTGATTAGTGCTTTGTTGGAGGCTTAGCAGGATAGTCCTTGTGGTTTCATCTGGGTCACTCAAGGGCTTTCGGTGAACTGCCAATGCCACCAGAGATGCTTAGGAGTCTTTCAATTTATGGTGGTTCATTCTTGATCTCTGAGGCATGAACACAGAAGCCCTGCCTCCTGGATACGCAGGAAGGAGTTTCCTACAACAGGGATGCCAAATACTGTTCAAACTGCCACTTGCCTCACATTTGCTAATGACCCATTGGTCAGAGTCTAGAGGTACAAGGTGCAAGGTCAAGCTCAGATTGAGTGGAGAATGGGACTGTACAAGGGGTCATGAGACATACCTGCATGTTCTAAGACAAGGTGGCAAAATTATTACTGAGGGCTGTTGCTGTAGACTGCTAAAGATAATCAAAACACACGGCATCATTACTAGCACACACATCCTTTTTATTCATCAGCCTTAACACTTCATTTTCCAGGAGGCTAAAACTGAATTTGGGTATGCTACATGGGTGAAAGAGCCCCAAGTGCTTGAATTCAAAGATAAAGGGGGCTTCAAAAACTTAATGGATAATGTACATTCTCTTTTTCTTCCATTTCCCCACAAATATATGAAGCCTCCTCATAGAAATCTGCAGGTAAAAACAAACTGTGTATGATTTAGTATTTTCCTCACTGGCTTTTAACTGCATCAAACTCAATTTGTTGCTAATATCTTTTTCTTTGCTCCAGAATTTAAAGATGGCTTATAATACCTGGTGGAATTTATCTTTCCTCTACATAAACTTAAAATGTTGAGAATTAATTTCCATTATCTCTAATGTTCCTCCTAACATCCAGCTAGAACAAAAGTCTACTAATATCGTGGGTCTTCTTAGCATCAGTTTCTCTGTAATTTTTATCCCCAAATTCCCATTTGTTACTTTACTATGTATGAAAAATTTGATCTTGATGCCCTATGAAGTTTTTAAAGAAAGATTTATATACTTATTTATTTGAAAGACACAGTTTCAGAAACAGGGAGAGAAATATCTTCTATCCACTGGTTTATACCCCAAATAGCCAAAACATCCAGGATTGAGCCAGGGTGAAGTGAGATGCCAGGAGCTTCATCATGTTTCCCGCATGGGTGGCCCAAGCACTTGGATCATCTATTCCTGTTTTCCCAGGCCATTAGCAGGGAGTTGATTGGAAGTACTACAGCCACGACTCAAACCAGTGTCCATATCAGAAACAGTCACTGTAGATAGCGGCTTAATACACTAGGCCCCAATGCTGGCCCCCTGCCATATAAATTTTTATTAGTGATGTAAACTGTAATCTGATTAAGTTTTCCAGTTTTATCCATTCTGTTGCAAATGGCCAGATTTCATTTTTTTTAACCATTGTGTGGTATTCCATGGTGTATATATCCCATAATTTCTTTATCCAGTCTTCAGTTGACGGGCATTTGGGCTGATTCCATATCTTGGCAATTGTGAATCGAGCTGCAGTAAACATGGGAGTAAAGATAATTCTTTCATATGCTTATTTCATTTCTCTTGGGTAAATTCCCAGGAGTGGGATGGCTGGGTCATATGGGAGATCTAGTTTTCAGCTATTAGAGGTATTTCCATAGTTTTCCCCCAATGGCTGTACTAGTTTACATTCCCACCAACAGTGGATTAGGTTATCTTTTCTCCCACATACTCACCAACCTTTGTAGTTTGTTGATTTCTATATGAAAGCCATTCTTTTTTTTTTTTCTTTTGACAGGCAGAGTTAGACAGTGAGAGAGAGAGAGAGACAGAAAGGACTTCCTTCCATTGGTTCACTCCCCAAACAGCCACTACAATATGAAAGCCATTCTAACAGGGGTGAGGTGAAACCTCCTTATGGTTTTGATTTGCATTTCCCTGATGGCTAGTGATCCTGAGCATTTTTTCATGTGTCTGTTGGCCATTGGATTTCCTGTTTTGAAAAATGCCTGTTTTAGTCCTTTGCCCATTTCTTAACTGGGATGTTTGTTTTTGTTGTTGTTGTTGAGTTTCCTGAACTGTTTATATATTCTTGTTATTAATCCTTTAAAAATTGCATAGTTTGCAAATAGTTCCTCCCATTCTGTCGATTGCCACTTCACTCTCCTGAGTAATTTCTTTTGCAGTACAGAAGCTTCTCACTTTGATGTAATCTCACTTGTCAATTTTGGTTTATTTGCCTTTGCCTCTGGGGTCTTTTTTAAGAACTCTTTGCCTATGCCAGTGTCTTGCAGGGTTTTACCAATGTTCTGTAGTAACTTGGTGGTTACACTATGTTAGTAGAATCAGCTTAAGAAAATTGTGTTATATAAACTGTGAAAAAGTCCAACTCTGGAGAAATTTTCCTTTTTCGAAGCTCTGTCTTTCATCTTCATTTATTTTAAGAAAACATTTTCTCAGAAAATATTTTGTTAAAAGTATCCTTTAATAGAGAAATCACTAGCTATAATTTTTTCTAAACCATGTTTACCCATTTTTAAAACTGCAGTGACTACCTTTCATCAGTTCACAGCTCACTGCATTTTCTTTAAATGCACTGTGTAACCCTCATGGAGGTCTAGATGTCGGCCATGACCAGCTCTTGCAAGTCACCATATGTTCCTCTTAAATCCCTATCTCTCTCACTTAGTGCAACCACTTTCCGAGCTCCATTTTTTTCTTTTTTTTCTTGAATAAGTAATAATAACTTCATTTTAACTCAATGTGCTGAAATACAAAAAATATTTTCAGCAACAAATGTATGTTTCTCATTAACATCAACTAGTTAAAAACGAATCTTGAAAATTAATTTCCACCATAATTAAATAACTTTAGCAGAATTTTATTTTCAAAAATGGGACTCAAATAAGTTATATCTTCATTTTAAAAACTGAATGCAAAATTAACTGGGTTACAGTTACAATGATAAAATCTAACAACAAAGATTTAAATATAAGAATTCCTTTTTAAACATAAAGTTCACATACTGCAAACAGAAAACAAGGTGTTATTTCATTCTTAGTGAAGAAGTCTTGCAAATGGTAGGCACTCAATATTTGCTCAACTGGATCTAACATTAACATCATTCCATGAATAGTTAAAGTACAGCTCATAATCCATATAAAAAGGTTTGTAAAATACTGTTATGTGTACTGAAAATGCTGTCTTTAAAATTTGAGAACACTTAAAACAAACCCAAGCACCCACCTACATTTTTTTGAAAGAATACACTGAATATTTCAATTTTACCCAATCAAGAGCATGCTATCCAAGTCAGAGAGTATAACCTCTTTGAGAGTATAACTGGCTAGGAGAAATGCAAAATTGCTGATGGATATTCACAAACTTATCAGATTCCTTGTATTTTAGTAGCACTTTCTATGATCCACAATCTTATTAAGAATTCTGCTTTGATTTTAAATTTATACACAAAACTTAAATGGGTGGGTTAGTTAGTAATTATACTTTTGACAATTTAAGCTCTCAGAGCCAAAAATTAAATAAAAATGTTCATGACAGCTTTTTAAGAGATCTTTGATAATATTTAATTCTGTTATAACTGATGACCTTAAAAGGCACTATCTTCACATTTTATCATGCAGTAAATTGAACACATTTTAAGAATTATAATCTCTGTCAGTTAACTGTGCCCCCAAATAAATCACATTTAAGTGAAATATTTCAACTAACCTGAACTTTCAACATCAAACTGAGTCCTAGTTTCAGAAATACACTCTTGAACAAACCACACACAAGCCCAAGCAAATACAGGTACACACATACACATACATACACACAATCACATAATTCATGCAAGGTTCTCCAATTACAAGACAGTAACACATGAGTATTTAAGGAGATAACATTGTCAAGCCATAGTATGGCACCTATTTGTGTTCCAAAAACCAAAAACCAATATATATTAAAATTTAAAAATGAAAAAAGCACAAATATTGTATTTTTATATCTTAAAGAACAGTTATCCAATGGTCATTTTTTAAACATGTATTTAAAACAACTCACTACTTTTTTTTTTTTTTTTTTTTGGACAGGCAGAGTTAGACAGTGAGAGAGAGACAGAGAGAAAGGTCTTCCATTTTTCCATTGGTTCACCCCCCAAGTGGCCATTACGGCATTGTAGCCGGCACGCTGCCCTGATCCAAAGCCAGGAGCCAGGTGCTTCTCTTGGTCTCCCATGCGGTAGAAGGCCCAAGGACCTGGGCCATCCTCCACTGCACTCCTGGGCCACAGCAGAGAGCTGGATGGGAAGAGGAGCAACTGGGACAGAATCCGGCGCCCCAACCGGGACTAGAACCTGGGGTGCCAGCGCCGCAGCCACAGGTGGAGGATTAACCTAGACCACTCACTACTTTCTAAGGAAAAGCCCTATTTGGGTGACAAAAGGGAAGCGAGAACAGACTGATAAATTGAAAGGCAAGATTGCTCTGGAAATAATCTGTGCCTATTTTGAGAATAATGTGTTTTAAAGATAGAAAGAGGAAAAGGCTAGTAGAGCACTTGCTTCAGAATACACTAACAGCTTTTATCATTGTTTCAAGCACCCATGATACCAAAAATATACGTAATAAATAAAAAATCAACTACCATAAAATGGTAGGCATTGTATTACCGGAAACGTGAACACTTTATAAACATGGATATTCTTAAAGCACAGCGTTTGACATTTTTGGTATAAAATAAAATCTTTACAAAATCCTTAGGATTTGCAATAAACACTACAGTAGGCAAGGGTAAACTGAAATACTCACTAATACGGTATGATTATTGAAGTCACTGTCGCTAGAAAATGTAGATTAGAGCAGTGAATCAATTCTCAATGTACCAGTGCAGTGTCCTTTAGATACAATATTTTTTGATAGATGACAACATTAATTACCAAGCAAATTTTTATTTTCCTGTAAGACTCTGTTAAATTCTTAAAAGTTATATTTCACATGGAAATTTAATAGTCTCAATCTTAATGGTGGAGTAAAGGAAGTCAATTTTTATTCTCCATAACATTCTTACTTAGGATGAAGTCCATCACCAGGGAACAATATTTCTCCTATTCTAAGAGATTCTTCCAATTTAAGTTACTACAACAATTAAACATCACAGAGAGAAGCTGAATCTGAAAATGTGATCTTTCAGACTCCTCTTTGTTGTGAATAACAAATGCTTATTTTGATACTACCTGCTCAAAGTACATATGAATCAGTCCTGATATGTTTGATTCCTCAGTTAACACCTAGTAAAGAGGCAGCAAAAATAAAATCTGTTGCAAATTCTCAAGCTTCATTTTTCTCCTTTTGCCCTGAACTGAAAAACTAAACAAATTATATAAAGTCTAATCTACAGAATAAAGTTATATATGCAAACACATAGTTATATGCATTTTTCCCCAGTGACACACTTTTCTCTTGTGGTTAAATATAAATTTTACGTAAGAAGCACACTGTCACTGCTACAGTAAGTCAGATCCAACAGCCTGACACTGACTGCTCCTGCTTCTCTGGGACAATGCACCAAAACAGACCTTCCTTAGGAACACAACTCACAAACATTGAACATGTATACGTGTTTAAAGCTAAAATTCATTTGTCATGAAAAACTGGCCCATGCAAAGCAGTTTATAGCTTTTCCTGTTCACATTGTGCAGCATTTTAATATCATCCACAGTTAACAGTAATGAAACACAAAGGAGAACACAAGGGAGAAAGTTTCATAGTGCAGCCTGAAACAATCTTAAGAGTTCTCTCCTTTGTGTGCATCTTGCACATGCAAATTGTATTAGTTCACTGTTTGAAAGAGAGTAGACTGCCCAGGAATTGTTTATTGTTCAGGTGCCTTTTCCAAAGTGAAGAACCTTAAAAATCAAACCAAGATGGAGTGACCTAAGCCAATACCATTAAAAACAAGAAGTTACCTTTGCCCCAAATAAAAAATTAAAGTTTAAAAATTACAGCCCTAAACTTTTTCCCCCAAAGCTAAAATTAGGTGCAGCTATAAAAATAAGGGACCCTATGCTTAGCTAGCTGAGACACTTGTGCCTGGCTGTGCTAAGACCTAACCCAGTTTGTATGCCTCCTAATACTCAAATAATGGTGTGGGAAGCAGGACGCCGCTCTCCCACCAGGGGAACAAAGGGAGCGAGACGTCGTCCCCCTCAGGGTGAACAAGATGGTGCTGGCAGGGAAAGGAACTACTAAAGAAGTAAACAACAAAATGGCGACGAGGTGCATGCCTCCCATGTGATCCTGTAGTTGATTGGATAGAAGATGCATGCCCTTCACATGATCAGCTCGCGGATTGGACTGCTGTGTGCATGGACTCTATAGTGCTTTTGATTGGTTGCTGCGGGTATATAAACCATGTGGCTTTGTGCTGGGGGCACTCTCTGGACTCCCAAGTTCAGGAGGCCTGTCTGCACAGATGCCAAATAAATCCTCTTGCTTTTGCATCAGTTGGTCTGGAGTCTGAGTCTTTGGGGTGTGCCTCTCGACATTAGCATCCTCACTCTGAGGGTCTAACATTTTGGGGACTCGTCCGGGATTGGTGTGCCCCCAGACTCAATTCCAGGTTCGGCCGGAGGTAAGAGCTAGCTCAGTTTTCATTTTGTGTTGCTGTTGTGTGTGTGTATGTCTTCAGTGTTTCGAAAAACTGTACCTGTACAGGGCTTGTTTTGCTTGGGTCAGCGGGGGAGGCAGACGTGCCCTGAGACCCCTGGTCCTGCTCTGGAGGACACTCCAAGAGTTTTGTGGGGGAGGGAGAGAGATCAGGTCTCTGTCCTCCCCGGGGAACCCGGCCATGGTCGGCCGCTCCCCTCTCGATTCGTACTTTCGGTTTGTTGCCAATCAGTTGCCACGCGGCTTGTGTGGTTTGTTCTGTTCGTCTGTCTAGTCAGTGTCCTGTACGTTGTCAATTCAATTGTTTTACCCATGGGTCAACAACTAACTACTCCTTTAAGTCTGACTTTAGGACATTGGAAAGAGGTCACGAAACGGGCACATAACCAGTCAGTGGAAGTGTGCAAGAAAAAGTGGCTGACTTTCTGTACCTCTGAGTGGCCCTCCCTTGAGGTTGGATGGCCGCGGGACGGCACTTTTAACCTTACTACTATTTTACAGGTCAAAGAGAAGGTTTTCCAACCGGGACCGCATGGACATCCGGACCAAGTGCCCTATATTGTCACCTGGGAGAGTCTCTCCCGAGATCCCCCAACATGTGTTAAGCCTTCCCTTTCCTCTTTAGGGGCACAGACCCCAAAACCAGGCCCCAGGCCTTCTTCAACCCCACTCATGCCTTTACCTTCGGTGCCGCTCACTTCTTCCCTTCTTCCCCTGAATGAACCACCTAAGCCTATGCCTAAAACTCCACCAGTTCTCCCAGACACTCAGGAAAATCTTCTACTTCTAGACCCTCCTCCTCCGTACCCTCCTCGGGTCCCACCACAGTTGGTTCAGGAACCCCAGGACCCTGAGCCACTCTCCCCTGACTCCACCGAAATGGGAGGGTTAGAGCCTTCCTCCTCCCCACCCTCTACTCGCCTGTGGCTGTGGAGGGAACGTGCCAGTGGCCCGGAGCGTGTCTGGTCCTCTCAAGCATTTCCTTTAAGGTCGGTGGCTGGCCAGATTCAGTATTGGCCATTCTCTGCCTCCGACCTATACAACTGGAAGACCCACAATCCCTCCTTTTCCCAAGACCCCCAAGCTTTGACCAGATTAATTGAATCCATTCTACTCACTCACCAACCCACTTGGGATGATTGTCAGCAACTTCTACAGGCCCTCCTCAAGGAGGAAAAACAGCAAGTCATATTAGAGGCTCGTAAAAATGTGCTGGGAGCAGATGGCAGGCCGACCCAACTGCCTAACGAGATCGCGGACGTCTTCCCTCTGACTCGCCCGGAGTGGGACTACAACACTGTGGCCGGTAGGGAGCGACTCCGTCTCTATCGCCAGACTCTTTTAGCGGGTCTCAAAGGGGCAGGGAAGCGCCCCACCAATTTGGCCAAGGTACGTGCGATTATCCAGGGTCAGGAAGAGATGCCGGCAGGGTTCTTAGAACGTTTAATGGAAGGTTATCGCATGTATACCCCTTTTGACCCTTTGGCCGCCGAATGCCAGTCAGATGTAATTATGTCGTTTATTGGACAGTCGGCTCCCGATATCCGAAACAAATTACAACGACTGGACGGGCTGCAAGGGTATACATTACAGGACCTACTAAAGGAGGCAGATAAAATTTTCAATAAAAGGGAAACACAGGAGGAAAAGGAAGAAAGATTATGCAAAGAGCAAGAGCGGAGGGAGGACATCCGGGACAAAAAGCGGAATCGAGAATTAACCAAAATTTTGGCCACGGTAGTGCAGGGTGCAGGGCAAGGTAGGCCAGGACAGAATAAGACCCTGGGAGACAAGAGAAGGTCCCGAGTAGAACGAGACCAATGTGCCTACTGCAAAGAAAAGGGACACTGTGTTAAGGACTGCCCTAAGCTGTCTCAGGAAACTAAGAAAAAGACAGTTACAGTCCTGCCCTTGGGGGAAGACAACTAGGAAAGTCAGGGCCAGGAGCCCCCCACCCCGAGCCCAGGGTAACTCTTGACGTAGGGGGGCACCCGGTGACCTTCCTGGTAGATACAGGAGCACAACATTCGGTGCTGACTGAGGCCAGGGGGCCTCTGAATTCTAAAACTTCTTGGGTCCAGGGGGCTACTGGGGGAAAATTGTACAGGTGGACAACTGAATGAAAGGTCCATTTGAACACTGGACAGGTGACTCACTCGTTCCTACTGGTGCCAGATTGCCATTATCCCCTATTGGGCCGGGATTTGCTTTCAAAAGTGGGGGCCCAAATTCACTTTCATGATAAGAGGATTTCAGCCACTGGCCCGGAAGGGCAGCCCCTTCAAATACTGACAATACACCTAGAGGATGAACATCGATTGCTCGAAAAAACCCCAGCTAATACAACCTCTCTAGACCCCAAGTGGTTAATGGACTTTCCCCAAGCTTGGGCAGAAACAGCCAGAGTAGGATTGGCTGTCAACCAACCGCCCCTAATAATTGGCTTAAAACCCTTGGCCACCCCAGTGTCAATCCGGCAGTATCCTATGAGCAAAGAGGCCAAGGAGGGCATCAGGCCCCATATAGACAGACTGTTGCAGTTGGGCATCTTAAAACCGTGCCGCTCGCCTTGGAATACCCCCCTCCTCCCAGTAAAAAAGCCAGGCACGGGGGACTACAGGCCAGTGCAGGACCTACGGGAAGTTAACCGAAGAACGGGAGACCTGCACCCTATTGTGCCCAATCCTTACAACCTGCTAAGTGCCCTACCACCAAGCCATCAATGGTATACGGTACTAGACCTTGAAGATGCATTCTTTTGTTTAAGACTGAGTCCTCAAAGTCAACCCCTGTTCGCCTTCAAGTGGAAAGACCCCGAGGCCGGACTTTCTGGACAACTCACTTGGACGAGATTGCCACAGGGGTTTAAAAATTCGCCTACCCTGTTCGATGAGGCCCTGCACCAGGATCTGGCAGACTTCCGAGTCAACAACCCCAGCATAGTCCTCCTTCAATATGTGGACGACCTGCTTTTGGTGGCAGAAACCGAACCAGGACTGTCAAAAAGGTACGGGGTCCCTGCTAAAAAAATTGGGGGAATTGGGATACAGAGCCTCCGTGAAAAAGGTGCAAGTGTGCAAAAGACAGGTCACCTACCTGGGATACCTGCTAGAAGGTGGTCAGTGGTGGCTAACAGAGGGCCGGAAACAGACAGTCGCCCTAATTCCACTGCCCAAGAGTGCCCGACAAATGCGAGAATTTCTCAGCAGCGCAGGCTTCTGCCGACTATGGATACCAGGATTTGTAGAATTAGCAGCACCTCTGTACCCCCTCACTAAACCCAATGCCCCCTTTATATGGGAAAAAGAACATCAAATGGCGTTTGATCAAATCAAAAGGGCTCTATTGTCAGCCCCTGCCCTAAGCCTCCCCGATGTGACTAAGCCCTTTACATTGTACGTTGATGAACGAAGGGGAATAGTGAAGGGCGTCCTGGTTCAGAAACTGGGACCTTGGAAAAAGCCGGTGGCTTACTTTTCAAAAAAATTAGATAATGTGGTGGCTGCTTGGCCCCCGTGTCTGCGCATGGTGGCCGCAGTAGCAGTCCTTGTCAAAGACGCAGATAAACTGACTCTAGGATAATCCCTCACTGTGGTGGCCCCCCATGCCATTGACACCGTCATCCGGCTGCCGCCAGATAGGTGGCTCTCCAATGCCCGAGTGACTCACTACCAAGCTATGTTGCTCAACCCGGAGCGGATTCAGTTCGGACCTGCCACCCCCCTGAACCCAGCTACCCTGCTCCCGGATATGGAGCCCGGTGCCTGGGTACCTCATGACTGTCACCAAATCCTGGTTGAGGCCCATGGCACCCGGGAGGACCTGATGGACCGGCCGTTACCGGTCGCGGAACACACCTGGTACACCAACGGGAGCAGTTTTCTACAAAACGGTGAACGGAGGGTGGGGGCGGCCGTGGTGGAGGGACACTCCATAATATGGGCAAGCGCCTTGCCTGCGGGAACCTCGGCTCAGAAAGCCGAGCTTGTGGCCCTCACACAGGCCCTTAAACAAGCTAGCGGAAAAAAAGTTAACATCTATACTGATAGATGCTATGCGTTCGCTACTGCCCATATACATGGAGAAATTTACCGAAGAAGAGGCCTCTTAACCTCAGCAGGAAAAGACACAAAAAACAAGACTGAAATTTTAGACCTCTTACAGGCGCTTTTCCTACCTAAAAAGTTGAACATAATTCACTGTCCTGGACACCAGCGGGGAAGTGACCCTATAACAAGAGGAAACAAAATGGCGGACGAGGTTGCCAGAACGGCTGTGGTAGGCCCGCAGACTCTACACCTGAGTACTGCGGTGGCCCACCATACGCCAGACCACAGGGACCTCCCCTTCCCCCATTTAGATCAAGATTTGGATGAAATCCAGCGGCTTGGGGGCGGATTACGATGAACAAAAGGGAGTTTGGACATTCCAGGACAAAGTTGTCCTGCCCCACAAAATGGCCCGTGAACTAATAACTCAACTCCATAAGTGGACTCATTTAGGACATAAAAAACTAAAAATGCTGCTGCAACAAAAAGATCAACCTTACTTTATCCCAAGGCTTAACTCTCTAGTTCAACAGGTCACCGAGTCCTGCGTTCCCTGCGCTAAAGTCAATGCGGGGCACCTCAAGCTGCCGGAAGGAACAAGGTTCCAGGGAGATCAACCTGGAGTCAATTGGGAGGTAGACTTCACCGAGGTTAAGCCAGGAAAATATGGTAACAAGTATCTCCTAGTTTTTGTAGACACCTTCTCTGGGTGGGTGGAAGCCTTCCCCACCAAACGAGAAACCGCTCAAGTGGTCATCAAAAAAATCATCGAGGACATCTTCCCGCGGTTTGGTCTCCCTCAGGTAATTGGGTCTGATAACAGGCCTGCCTTCATCTCCCAGGTAAGTCAGCTGGTGGCCAAAACACTGGGGATAAACTGGAAATTACATTGTGCTTATAGACCCCAAAGTTCAGGACAGGTAGAAGGGACAAATAGAACAATTAAAGAGACCTTAACTAAATTAGCTATGGAGACTGGCACTAGAGACTGGGTCCAACTCCTCCCTATGGTCTTGTTCCAGGTCCGGAACACCCCCTCCCACCACGGGTTAACCCCATATGAAATATTGTATGGGGGACCCCCTCCCGCCGCAAATCTGCTTGACCCTATGCTTAACCCCTTTATTAATGCGCCTAATTTGCAGGCACGACTAAAGGCACTCCAGATTATACAGAACCAGATCTGGAGACCTCTAGATGTGGCCTACCGGACAGGGAACGCGTCAGTCCCTCAATCCTTCCAAATCGGCAACTCTGTCTGCATCCGAAGACACCAGTCTAAGACTCTCGAACCCCACTGGAAGGGCCCCTACACTGTACTGTTGACCACTCCAACAGCCCTTAAGGTAGACGGAATCGCCGCCTGGGTTCACGCGTCCCACATCAAGCGAGCACCATCGGGAGCTGATAGAGCTTCGGGCGAGCCAGCACAATGGAAATTGCAATGCACCCAAAATCCGCTCAAGCTAAGACTTTTAAAAACTCCATAATGCTTTTAACTTTGCTTACTTCCACTGTAATAGCCAGGAACCCCCGCCCACTTTACCCTGACCCAAGTTTCCGGAAAGGGAACATGCCTAGGAAACCCTTCCCCATCTCATATACAACTGTGTAATGTTACCATCCCAAGTGCAAATTTAACAACCTATGCCCATGTTAGTCCAGGCTACGGAAACTGGTGGGCTTGTAACAAGGGACTTACCCCCTGTGTGTGTCCCTCGGTCCTTAGTGCCACCCAGGACTTTTGTTATGGTACAGCTAGTGCCTAAAATAATTTACCATCCAACCAACACACTAGAAGATTCCTATGATAGATGCCCCACCCGCATCCGTAGAGAGCCAGTTTCTCTGACCCTAGCAGAGTCCTGTTAGGGCTCGGAGTTGGGGCTGGGGTTGGAACTGGAACAACAGCCTTAATCCAGGGTCCTCTGTATTACAATGACTTAAAAAAAAAAAAACTCCATTAATGAAGACATACAGGCCCTGGAACAATCTATAACTAGGCTGAAGGAATCCCTCACTTCCCTGTCCGAGGTAGTCTTACAGAATAGAAGGGGGGCCTTTGTGCAGCCCTTGGTGAAGAGTGCTGTTTTTATGTCGACCACTCGGGAGTCATAGAAGACTCCATGGCAAAACTAAGGGCTAGGTTGGACAAAAGACGTAGAGATCGAGAGGCCCAACAAGGCTGGTTTGAGGGGTGGTTCAACAAGTCCCCCTGGTTAACCACTCTTATTTCCACAGTCACAGGCCCCCTCATTATCCTCCTCCTAATTTTAACTTTTGGCCCGTGCATCCTCAATCGATTGCTGCAGTTCATCGGGACCGGCTGTCCATCACGCAGGCCCTCGTACTCACCCAACAATACCAGGCACTCAGGGACAACACTGACCTTTAGATTTTAGGATTAAAATCTCTCCAAAAAGAAAAGGGGGGAATGAAGAACCTTAAAAATCAAACCAAGATGGAGTGACCTAAGCCAATACCATTAAAAACAAGAAGTTACCTTTGCCCCAAATAAAAAATTAAAGTTTAAAAATTACAGCCCTAAACTTTTTCCCCCAAAGCTAAAATTAGGTGCAGCTATAAAAATAAGGGACCCTATGCTTAGCTAGCTGAGACACTTGTGCCTGGCTGTGCTAAGACCTAACCCAGTTTGTATGCCTCCTAATACTCAAATAACGGTGTGGGAAGCGGGACGCTGCTCTCCCTCCAGGGGAACAAAGGGAGCGAGACGTCGTCCCCCTCAGGGTGAACAAGATGGCGCTGGCAGAGAAAGGAACTGCTGAAGAAGTAAACAACAAAACGGCGACGAGGTGCATGCCTCCCATGTGATCCCATAGCTGATTGGATAGAAGATGCATGCCCTTCACATTATCAGCTCACGGATTGGACTGCTGTGTACATGCCTCCCATGTGATCCCGTAGCTGATTGGATAGAAGACACGTGCCCTTCACATGATCAGCTCGCGGATTGGACTGCTGTGTGCATGGACTCTGTAGTGCTTTTGATTGGTCGCTGCGGGTATATAAACCATGTGGCTTTGTGCTGGGGGTGCTCTCTGGACTCCCGAGTTCAGGAGGCCCGTCTGCGCAGACGCCGAATAAATCCTCTTGCTTTTGCATCAGCTGGTCTGGAGTCTGAGTCTTTGGGGTGTGCCTCTTGACGTGTTAGCATCCTTACTCCGAGGGTCTAACAAAAGTATGAAAAAACAGGAATAAATTCAGTAATGAATATCTGAAATCCAAACCAATTTAAATATAATCAAGGAGACCCTTCTTATCTATTATCACAAATATCCCAGTTGCTTCCATGTGTCTTAAAAAATCATTTCAAAAGTTGACACAATTAATTACACCTTATTAATTCCCTCCAAACAGGAAAAGTATATGTACCACACAGCATACAAAAGTTACACATGAAAAGTGCATATATATTTTTCTTAATTGACCCACTCATTAAATTTACATTTGGTCATCCTTAACTTTTAACATGTATAGAATTCTCATATAAATATAGGTCACTATAAATTTTTTAAAAATTACTTCAGCAGAAAACATGCTTTCTTGTTGAAATCTTAACCTCAATTAGTTCTCGATCATTGTAAATTTGGATAATCCCACAGTTTGTTAAACAGTTAACATACAAACATCACAAATTTTACTAAAAGTCTTGGCCAACTCATTGCATATTTGCCCCTTGAAATGAAAAATAAATTAGAACTGAAGCAGTATATTGCCATAACTTACCTTGAAGGTAAGCAGGTTCATCTATATTTATATAACTTAGACTGGAGACATTACTGGTAATTTGATACACGTACTTTTAAGAAGAATCTACAATTAAACTTTGAAATAGCACAAGACAAAACCTCTAAATTCATTTTTCTTTTCAAGAAATAATGGAAGATCTTTTTGAAACTCAGTATCTTCAGTTATCCAAATCACCGCATTATGGATCTGTGCAATCCTGCGTAGCCTGGCCAAAATGGCATAAATTATCCACCTGAAATGCAAGTAATATGCTTTTCACTATCTGTTCTGTGTACAAGAAAACAGATACAACTCTTGCTTATGGTTTGTATATTAGCATCCTTTTGGACCTGGAAGGGTAACGGTCAATTCCATTTTTATAGTGTTCATGGAATATGTCAGGACTGTTTTAGCCATTTGCGAGGAATGCCAAACTGTGAACACTGTGCAGAGGCAAGTGCTCAGAAGGCTTCTGCTACTAAGTGAGGGTGTGACTGAATCATGGACTTCCACCCTGATGTTTCCGTTATGTCAGTTGCTTGACTGCTGTTCCAGATTTTCCCATCTTTAACCCAACCTGGCAAAGCACAGTGCACCTATTAATAAAATCTATAGCTTGTGCTTTCAACCGTTCTGCATTGTACAAATCTGCAAGAAGAGGGGCATCAGCAACATTTTCTACTGAAAGGTCAATACACAAAGTTCTTCACACATGACCTAAAGTCGTTCCAGTGCAGATCTGTCTGCAGCTGCCAACAAGTTGACAGCCATTTTATCAAGATTTGGTGGTTTCCTGTGTAAACGAATACCATCATTTCTTTAAGAAGGTCAGGGTCTAAATCACTTATTTCTACTCGATTCTTTTGCTTTCTTCCATTTCATGGTCAAACATTGCATTGAAAACTGGGGATTGGGCTGCAAGTACAGATGTATGAGCTTTAAATTCTTGTCCACGTGCAAAAAAACCCTGCAATCTGTAAATCTTATGTTTTCCCAGAAGTCACCTAAATCTTCTGCTAGTCGACATTCAGGCACCTTCAAAGCACTTGTATTAGTATGTCCGGATTTGTTTACCGCATCTTGGACCACACTCACCTCACAAAATAATATAAGCTTGTCATCTGGTAAAAGACCATTGGTTTCATCAAGCAAAAAAATCCTTTCTAATGAATTTTTTAAAGCCCCAGTCCTGGGGCTGGCGCCATGGCACAGTGGGTTAACTCCTTGGCCTGAAGTGCTGGCATCCCATATGGTCCCCGCTGCTCCGCTTCCGATCCAGCTCTCTGCTGTGGCCTGGGAAAGCAGCAGAAGATGGCCCAAGTCCTTGGGCCCCTGCACCCACGTGGGAGACCCAGAAGAAGCTCTGGCTCCTGGCTTCAGATTGGTGCAGCTCATCCAGTTGCGGCCAATTGAGGAGTGAACCAGCAGGTGAAAGCTTGCTCGCTCTCATGCTCTCTCTCTCTCTCTCTGCCTCTCCTCTCTCTGTGTAACTCTTTTAAGCAAATAAATAAATCTTTTAAAAAAAATAAGAAAGGCTTTGCTGATGACCTGATCCAAAGAGCAACCCTTTGGCCCTCCTGATCCTCCCACTTTACCTAGCCTGATATCTTCCATTAGCACATTCTCCTGCTTACATGCTATTTGTTTTTATTCCTTTGTTTTTATATTATCTCCCTCTGCTGGGACACAAGCTCTGTGTGAACACAAATTATTCTATGCCTGGCATACAGTGGGCAGTAAATAAAGATATGGCTATGGAGACTGGGGTCAGAGTGGCAGCTAAATTTAATTACTAGCAGATGTTGTCTTGGAAACTTTGAGGACAGATATTTCCTAGCAAGTCAGATTTGAAAACAGGTAAGTATCTCTCAGCTAGGGTCTTGGCTTGCATCATTTGTTCTCCATGGGACTCTAAGCACTTTCTGGTTTTTTCTTTGCTTCTTTAGAAATGGTAAAAGTGATAAATTTCGATTTCTTTTTCCCAAATAGGTTTGTCATTTATTGTGTTTCAGGCTAAAATCTCACATTTTTTTTCTTTTGTTTAAAGGGAAATCCTCACATTCACCTGATACTATACTCAGATGAGTGTGACACTTAAGAATCTTCTCATTCAAAAGAGCACACAGCACAGATTGAATAAGAATGAAAATGCCTGTGGAGACACTTCTGGGTGGTCCACATTGTATATTGTCTGTAAGTTTCACTCTTTTCTTGTCAAAGAGGAGATTCCATTCTAAAAATAAATTAACTCAGTTGGGTTACACAGTCCAGAGAAAACAAAAAATTTATTATCAAAATAATAATCTAGGCCTTGAATATTTCTTTCTCAGACTGAACTGAGATTATTTCTAGAATCAAAGCAGATGTCACCCATCCTGACTAAACTACACTATTTTGCTCTTGGACTTATATGAGATCTTTTCCATTTGGTGGCTGCAATTTTCCAATCTCAGTGTAAAATTTACTTTCTGGATAAAGACAACAATTTGGAAGTCTCTAAGCAAAATCCTGCACCAGCAGTGTACAGCAACTATATGTCCAAAGTGATTAATTTTGAAACCCTTTCAATGTTCCTGAGATCTGTCAGAATATCAGAACTTAGCGTGAAATGAAGATTTGCCAAACAGCTTCCCCTTAGCATGAAATCTTGAGTTGATTTAATGTCCAATGACTGGTACATCCCAGCCCAGCCCAGCCCAGCCCAGCCCAGCCAAGAATGCCATTAGAAGTCTGAGGACAT